TCCCAGCACCTGACTACATGCTTGTTGAATAGACTGTTCCGTGGTAGGGTCATGCACTCCCACAGTGCGCACACCACTTCTCAAACCCATAGCTCCCATGCTTCCTTGACATTCTTGTCCTCTACTGTGTGGGAGAACATATGACATCCACCAGCTAGTTCATTTGCCAGACTCCCAAGGTCCTGCACACACCAGAGACTAAGCCGCGCCAGAGTAGGGCATATGAAGAGTCTCTGGAACCCTGGTAATCACCAGGATCATATCTGTGCCCAGCTACAAAATTACAATCCTTCCACATCAGCCTAAATTGACCACATCTTGACAGGCAGTTTCAGGCTTTCTGGGAAGCAAAAGGTTGGAAAAGAAAAAGCCTAGGGACAGAGACTGGACCTAGGGCTGCCTCTGCTCTACCTGGCTCACCCCTGTTTTTATCCCCTGGTCCTCCAGACCCCTCTACCCAAACCAGCAATTCAGCCTACAGTAGCAAAGTGCAGAGGCCACAGGTTCTGCCTGGGTAGGGCAGAGGTGCCTGAGGCTTGGGGCAGGTGCTGGCTGGATCCGGTTTCTAGAGGCTATATATATGTATAAAGGCTACCGCTCCCCCTGATGCAACACACTAGAAGCCAGACCAACATTCCAGCCCAGAAGCCAGCTCTCCATTTATAGCCCCTTGGCAGACCAGCCAAGGGGCTGAGCAGTAAGGCCTGCAAAGGACAGGGGGAGAATCACAGGACCCTCCTACAGAGAGAGAAGAACGAGACCCAGGGTGAGCCATATGCTTCTCTAGGTCACTGGGCTTGCAGTCCAAGAGGCCCTACATTGAAGGGACAGTGCCTCAGCCCACAGCCAATGGCATCCCCCAGAATGGGTGGCAGGGGGCAAGTGTGGATGACCATAAACCAAAAAGCAAAGTTGTAATAGTTTAGTCTCCATACAAAATTTACTTCTGTATTTTCTTTGCTTGCTCGGGTTTGAGAAAAACAAAATTAAAAACCGAGATTTGCACAAGTAAATTGTTGGAAGTGCTTCCTTGGAGGTGCCCGAGCACTGCAGAATTCAATGGAATTGCTCATTCATCAGCTAAGAAATATTTACGGAGTGCCTACTGTGTGCTGAGCACATTCAGCCCAGGTTCGAAAAGGAGGCAGATGCTACCATCCAAACCATTACAATAGCAACGACTTGTATTCTTCATTGAGTTTAAGTCAAATGAAAAGACATATAGAGTGATGCCACATCACATCTCTCTGTAGCATACTGTTATAGTGTTTGGACAGGCCATGTATAATGCAAGGGAGCATGGCCCAGGCTGATGAGCCTCTGCTTTGCCTGGGAAGAGCTAGTGTGAGAGCATGTGGGAATCATCATGTGCACCGTGCCCAATTTTGATGAAATTGCGTATGTTGTGACACATTTTGCTAAATTCAAATACAAGTGTAGAAATTAGGAGACCCCAAGACTACTTATTCATTCACTTGACTCTTACCAAGTGCCCCCTGTGGGATCACGGTTGCAGTGGCTTCTGAAAATGCCATGGTGAACAAAACATCCCCATGCCATGAATGCTTTGATGTCCTTCAGTGAACAAACTAGCAGACAAGATCATTATAGATTAAAGGCTAAGTGACATTCTCAAAGCCCGGGACATGGCTATCTGGGATGGCCAGAGACATCCCAAGAAGGCAACACTGGAGTTAAGACCTGAGACCTGAGACCTGAGAAGCTGCCAATCATGGGAAGGACCAGAAGAGAGGACAGTAGGCTTGGAACAGCAGGCACAAGACTCCATGACTCTGAAGGAGGGCGGCTAGTTAGACAGGGCCATCTGAGGGGAGGGTGGCTCCAGGTGAAGTGGTGAAGACAGACTGAGTAGGGCTCCTGAACTGCCATGTAGTTAGGGAAGGAGATGAGATTCATCTGGGCATGTGGTACCTAAGTGCAAAGAGCACTGGGACCTCTGCCATTTCCCCAGGCTGCCGTGAAGGAGCTGGGTCCTGGGAGTACCAGTGAAGAGAACAGACGAGTCAGTGGGGCCATCTAAGTCAGCAAAGGTCAGGAATTAGCACAGTCTAGATGGTGATCTTAGGAAGGACAGACCTAGGGGGTGTCTTACAGGAAAAGTGGACAGGGGTTCATCATGCCCAGCCATCCCCTCAGGACCTCCAGCCTCATGAATTCCACTCCGACTCCTTATCGCCACCTGGATGTTTAATGTGAATTTCCAACTTTGCCCAAACTGGATCTTTGATCTGACATTCACAGACCCACTATTTCCCAGTTCCTTTCTCCCAAAAGCCATCTCTAATGTCTCTCTTGTCCCTGTGCCCATATCCAAGCATAAATAAATCTTGCTTGTCCCCATCTTTATTTTTAAAGATTTAAAAGTTTATATGTGTTTGAGTGCTTTGCCCTCATGTACGTCTGTGAGCTGCAGAGATCAGAAAGGGACACCAAGTCCCCTAGAACTGGGGTCACGGGCAGTTGTAAACAATCAAGTGGGTGCTGATAATCAAACCCAGGTCTTCTGCAAGAGCGGTGGGTGCTCCTAACCACTGAGCCACCTCATCTCTCCAAGCCTGCCAAGCTCCATCTTGAGAGTATATTGGAATTCAATCTCTTTTCACCAGATCACTTTACCTCCCAAAGCTCAGCAACCGTGCGAGTGACTGTGATCACTCCTTTGGATTGTTGCGGAGCCCTCCGAAACCGTCACTTGCCTTCCACCAACCGGCAAAGCTCCTGGTAAAGTGAGTCTGAGCTGAGACCCGACAGCCCTGGGGCAGGTCCGGGGCGAGGGCCGAAGGTGAGAGAGCTGCAGGAATAAGACTCTGAGGCTGAATCCCTGTTCCGGGTTACAGGGGGAGGGAGAGGAGGAGGAGGAGGCCTCTCACGGTGGCCAAAAAACCTGAAATGGAGCCGTTAGGGAGAATGGTGGCTCTCAGTCGATTTGGGGACACAAGCTAAGTTCCAGCATACTTGCTGTGCATTCAACCTGTCCAGCGCAGTCCTGCCCCAGACGCCCATGCTTGCTTCTGTCTCTGACTAAATACCCGCTTGTGGTGGTGGTTTCTGTCTCCTGTCATCCAGGACACCACACAAGTACAACCGTCCCAGAGAGGCCTTCCCTGGCTGCTGGAATGAAGGCTAGTTCTCACTTTGCTTTATTATTATTATTATTATTATTATTATTATTATTATTATTATTCTGTAGAATTTATAAACCCCTGATACCACACAGCTCCTCGATTGCTCGTCGCCATCCTCTCCTATAATGTAAACACTATGTGAATAGGGCCTTCGTGCCTGGTTCAGTGCCTGGTGTGTGGGAGATAAGCCACAAAGAGCGCTGAATGACTAAACAAAGGCAAAGCCGTGGAGTAAAGAGGGTGAGCGCATCACCAAGGGGACTGTCAGCACTGCCAGTGTCAGAGAAGGTGAAAACGGTTGGACTCCAAAAGAGATTCCTGCTTCTGGGGGGTAGAGAGGGATTCCTAGTTTGTAGAAGGGCCAAGACGGCTTCCAGAAGTTAGTAGGAAAGACACCTGGATCATCACTCTTGCTTAGATCTCTGGCATCCAGGAGAGGAGACATGGCAGGACTACATGGTCAAGGAAGACTTCTAGCCAGAGCCCCAAGAGGCATGAGCATCCCAGGGGCGGGGTGTGTTGGGGCTGGTAGGGGAGCCAGAGCTCAGGGAGGTGGCTGCCTCCTTCTGCTCCTCCCCTCCCCAGTGAGCCTGCTAGGAAGAGACACAGCTAAGTCTCCAGAGGATCAGAGCCTGGAGACTCCAAGGCCCCCTGCTGGGGCTCAGTGTCCCCAGGCAAAGGCTAAGAAGCCTGTTGGTTATACCAGGCAAGCAGGTGCTGGAGACAGAAGCTAGATCTCTTGCTGACACCCCTGACATTCCCACACCCTCCTCCCTTTGGATTCTCAACCATCACCACAGTTACTCTTGGGCATCGTCATTATCCCTGGATGTGAAGTAGAAACAGACTTGGGAAGAGATCACCTCCACAAAGTTATGCAGACTCGACTGTAAGTGCGGTCCTCAGGCCAGGTCCTGGACATCTTGGCCCTTAAGAAAAGGCACTTCCCGTGGCTGGACTCTAGAACAAGAGGACACAAACCTGCTGCAAACCGGCTTTCATCTTAGCTATAGAAACAGATCAGCAGACCCCTGTGGCTCTCTAGACGTCCACAGAAGGAATCCTGCTGGGTAAGTTGAGTGGAGCCTCTCTCTTCTTCCCTTCCTCTCTCCCTCCCTCCGTCCACCCTGAGTTTGAGTAGAGTGGCTTGAAGTTTTAATGATGATTCCCCCAACTACCGCATGGACTGCGCTGGGTTTCTAAGCTTCCTGCGGAAGATGGGCAACACCAGACGCTCTCAGAGCCACTCCTAGATCGAGAATGAGCCAAATGTCACTGCCACCAAGTCATTTGCCTCAGGCTTCCCGCTTAGACCTTCCGAGTCTCACTGTCCCTTGTGCGCTTCGTCCTTGGCTCAACTTCTCTGAGTGTCACCATGATGTCACTGCTGCTTCTCTAGAGGGGTTTCTTTGCCCCGTTGCCTGGTGTCTGTCTCCAAATCTCCTGCGATCTGATTTCTAACTCCTATTCTGTGCCTGGTTTCCCCACAAATCAGGAGACCGTGAGATCCAAGGTCAGCTCCGAAGTGAGCGCTGCGGCCGGCTTCACGGAGCTTGAAGGAGTAGGCTCCAGAGCGAGCGGCTTGGGCAGGCTGCACGGGATAGCCAAGTGCCACGGCTGGCGTCTGCCTGCCAGTCTCTGCCCTCCTCCCTGCCCCAGCGCAGAGCCGCGGGAGGGGGCACTCCCTGGCCCCAGTGGCTACCCTGGGGACCACAAGCTCCGCCCTGCTGCACTCCTATTGGTTTGGGGCGCCCCCGCCCCCAGCCTCCCTTTCCAGCTCCCGGGGCTTTTAGGCTACCCTGGATAAATAGCCCAGGGCGCCTGGCGCGAAGCTAGGGGCGAGGAAGTCCCAAAACGATCGCTTTCTTCGCCACAACTCCGACGGGACAGGACAAGGAGGGGAGGTAGAGGACAGCGGATGTGCATTCCAGCCCTCAGCACTTTGTCATTGTACTGTCTAGGTTCAGGAGTGGCAGAAAGTTAAGGTGACTCTTGCGGCTTGGGTTGAGCAAGAGGCAGGACCAAGAAGCCCAGGAGCTGGGATATGGAGCTACTGTCGCCGCCACTCCGGGACGTAGACTTGACAGGCCCCGACGGCTCTCTCTGCTCCTTTGCCACAGCCGACGACTTCTATGATGACCCGTGTTTCGACTCACCCGACCTGCGCTTTTTCGAGGACCTGGACCCGCGCCTGGTGCATGTGGGGACCCTCCTGAAACCGGAGGAACACACACACTTCCCCACCGCGGTGCACCCAGGCCCAGGCGCTCGCGAGGATGAGCATGTGCGCGCTCCTAGCGGGCACCACCAGGCTGGTCGCTGCTTGCTGTGGGCCTGCAAGGCGTGCAAGCGCAAGACCACCAACGCTGATCGCCGCAAGGCCGCCACCATGCGCGAGCGGCGCCGCCTGAGCAAAGTCAACGAGGCCTTCGAGACGCTCAAGCGCTGCACGTCCAGCAACCCGAACCAGCGGCTGCCCAAGGTGGAGATCCTGCGCAATGCCATCCGCTACATTGAAGGCCTGCAGGCTCTGCTGCGCGACCAGGACGCAGCACCCCCTGGAGCCGCCTCCTTCTACTCGCCGGGCCCGCTGCCCCCAGGCCGAGGCAGCGAGCACTACAGCGGCGACTCGGACGCTTCCAGCCCGCGCTCCAACTGCTCCGACGGCATGGTAAGGCCGGGACCCAGAAGGAGGACAAGTGTAGGCAGCACCTGGGGTATTTGCAACATGTTTCTGAGACCTTTGGGGTCGGGAGAGTCCTTTAGACTGGCATCTGTCACTGGGGTTTCTTTGGAGACCCTAGTCATCTGCGATTTGCCCAATTGGGGGTGCCATCAGAACACTGCTGCGCAGACCCCAGGACATGCGTTTCCTTCTTAAATCCTTATTACCCAAATGCAGATTTTTGTTCCTGGGTGACCATCTAGTCTCAGTTTGGCCCTGCATGCGACCGCTTACAATATATGCTGGCTCCTACCTCCTAACTAGCGCTGATCCAGTCCTGGAACCCATAGCTCAGACTTGGGGAGCGAGGGAGGGGCGGTGACAGGGAGTAGTGCTCCAGACGCCCCGTGGGTCTGACTCGGTCCTTCTTGCTATTCGCAGATGGATTACAGCGGCCCCCCGAGCGGCCCCCGGCGTCAGAACGGCTACGACGCCGCCTACTACAGCGAGGCGTCCAGCGGTGCGTATTCTCAGCTGTTCCCAGCTAGCAGGCTGTCAGTGGCCTTCCGTGCCCCCCATAAGCTGCCCTAGCTCCCCAGGCTTAGTACCTCCTCCCCACCTCCACCACATACACACTTGTGTCTTGGGATGGCGAGGGGGGCGTGTTTGGGGGGTAAGCAACTACGACGTTCACCTTCCTCTTCTTTCTCCTTGCCGCCTGGCAAGTCCTCAGTTTCCCCTCTGTCCCCAAACTCTGTGCTCTGCTCCGGGGTAAGAGACGTGAAGAGACTCAAGCTTGGATTACTAACCTTCCTCTCCCCTTACAGAGTCCAGGCCAGGGAAGAGTGCGGCGGTGTCGAGCCTCGACTGCCTATCCAGCATCGTGGAGCGCATCTCCACAGACAGCCCCGCCGCGCCTGCGCTGCTGCTGGCAGACGCAGCACCAGAATCTCCTCCAGAGGGGGCATCCCCAAGCGACACAGAGCAGGGGGCCCAGACCCCGTCCCCTGACGCCACCCCACAGTGCTCTGTAGTCGCGAACCCCAATCCGATCTACCAGGTGCTTTGAGAGGTAGGCTGGGCTGCGACCGGAGAGAGCGCACTGCCTACACTCTCGGGGATAGTGCCCGAGGGTCCTTCACGCCCAAAAGATGAAACTTAAACGACACTCCTCCCAACTGTCCTTTCAAAGCCACACATCCAGAAGCTGGAGAGGGCCAGAGCAGAAGTCTGTCCTCACATTGGTCCCCAAGGAAAGGACGCAGTCCCTTTGATGTTGTTGTTGTTGTTGATTTTGTTTGTTTTGTTTTTCATGCGACTCATAGAGACAGCCACTTGCTGTCCCTCAGTGGGCCAGAGCTGATCCTTGAACAGCCAGGCCTTCTTCCTTTTCCTGACAGCTCCTCGCGCAGGGGTGAGCCTCACACACCTAAGCCCTGCCCTCCAAATCCCGGGTGTTTGTAGAGACAACGATCTCCACTTTCCGGGGGCCTCCCGACACCACAGCCCGGGGAGGCCGCTCCAGTCCCGTGTGTAACAGGTGTAACCATACCCCACCCTCCCTTGACCCACTCGCGGTTCAGGACCACTTATTTTTTTATATAAGACTTTTGTAATCTATTCGTGTAAATAAGAGTTGCTTGGCCAGAGCCAGAGCCCCCTGGGCTGTATTTATCTCTGAGGCATGCTGTGTAGTGAAACACGAACTTTGTATGTTTATTCCTCTGGTGGGCGAGCCTCGGGGCTCACTTGCTCAGGTGTTGCAAATAAAGACTCTAATTTATACATCAGTGGCTCTGGCTTTTCCTAGGTAAATCAAGGGGATCAGGAAAAAAAAAAAACCCTCCACAATCTGGGCAAGCTGTCTCGCAGCGACCCCTGTAGGCGGCATAAGGGCAGCAAGGAGGCTGGAAGGTGCTGGATAATGAAGGAGGGCCAGGCAAGGCTCCAGGCTGCAGGGGACCTCCCCTCCCGCTCTGTCAGCGGCTCCTGAGGAAATCAGAGCCTGTGAGAAGGAGGACACTAGGGACCAGCATTATCTCTAGTGCTGTGGTGCTTTCATTAGACTGTGTAGTCTGGGCGGAGGGGAAGCCATTGGTGCAGCCAGAGTGTAAGGAGGGCTTCCTGGACAAAGTGCTGTTTCAGAGGTGCCCGGAGAAATAAGGGTAGGCAAAACCCAACTGCAAACTTGGAGCCCACCCCACCCCCCGCCACACACACACACACACACACACACACACACACACACAGAGGAATCTCTATCCTCCCCTGGAATGACCTGGCACAAGCTCTCTCCCTCACTCACACTTGTCCCCAGGACCTCAGTAGCTCCTGCCTTCCGTCCTACAGATCCTCTTCCTGAACTCCCATAGGCCAGGTCCACGACACAGAAAGGACACATTCAGGAAGGACCACTCCATCCCGAGAGTGGGCTCTGCTCCCCGGACACCATCTTGGAGGAGCCACACAAAGCTTTTCTATTACTGTGATGCTCAATCTGCCCTCTTGGATGTCTTTAGGGTTCCTTACACTCCCTCTAGGCCTCTCAGGGATGCCATGACTGTCCATTGGACAGATGCCAAGTCCTATACTGAAGAGGGAGAGACCACTGACACACTCCCTACCTTTGGGAAGCACCCAGACATTTGGGCTTGGATCTTCCCACAGTTGGTCACGGAGTGTGGGTGAGGACAGGGGCGGCCCACGTGGGTGCAGAATAACACGAGCAGGTGGCCTCTAGTAAGAGTCCTGAAGGGACTAGATAGGAGCGAGAGCTCAAAGTGGAGGGAAAACACGGAGGGAGGGAAGGGGCAACCTCACGGACCCACAGCTGCTCGGAAGGAGCTAAGGAGACAGAGGAGGAGGCAGGACCACATGGGCCTCCACTGAACTGCATCCTGAGGGCAACAGGGAGCCCCAGAGGAATCAGCACATGGGAAGAACAGACATAAATCTGTAGTTTAGAAGGGTCTGTTTGGACGGGTCAAACAGATAAGAGGGAACACAAAGAGACAGGAAGATGTTTTGTGACTTTTCCGGGGAGATGTGAAGAAATGTCACCTTATATAGAGAAGGAGCCGACCACCCAAAGAAAGATTCCATTGAGTCTAGCCTGGCAAATAAGTGAATGTATTGGGGTTACTTACAGAAGCATGGGCAACTTGTGGGGGAGATACACAGTGAAGCCCCACCCCCAGAAAACAATTAAAATCTTCTTTTAAATATTTATTTCTCGTGTGTGCCTAAGTGTGTGTTTGCAAGTGTGCATGCACTATGGTATGCATGGCAGATCAGAGACAACTTGAAGGAACTCAGTGTGCCTTCCAACACAATGGTTCCAGGGACTGAGCCCAAGGCATCAGCAAGCGCCTTCACCTGCTGAGCAATCTCACCTCACCGGCCCCCAGCATTTTTTTTTCTTTTTTTTTTTTTAAAAAAAAAACCTCTTATATACTTCAGAACTTTTTAAAAGAATTTATTTTTAATTACATGTCTCACGTGTGTTCAGACACCCACAGAGGCCAACGGCATCAGCCCCATCCACCCCTGGGGCTGAAATTAACGGGTGGTTGTAAGCTGCCTAATAGGGCACTGAGAACCAAATCCCTAACAGCAAAGCCATCTCTCTAGTCCTTCTTTTTCTTTTTGTTGTTTTTGTCTTTGTTCCCCCACTCAGACCTGAGGCTCGAACCCAAGGCCTTGTGCTTGCTGGGCAAGCGCTCTACCACTGAGCTAAATCCTCAGCCCCTAGCCCTTCTTGTATGCAGCTGGGCCAGGGGGGCACGGGATTGGAATCTCGGGGAGGAGTGAATGTGGGTAGTGTGACCCTTCCTCCCTCTCTCCAAGAGGGAATATTCACAGCCCCATTACCAGAGACCTAGCCGCCAGCAGTACAGATTTTTGATGTTATTTTAATTTTTGTTTCGTTTTTTTGACATGGGATCTCACTCTGTAGCTAGGCTAGCCTGGGACTCACCACGTCCTGAGCTGCCCTCGAACTCTTTGGCAGTCTTCTTCTTCTTCGGCCTGCCCTAGAGCTGAGGTTGCAGGCGTGAGCCACCACACTGGGCTTCCTCCTGCCAAGGTCTACTTGTTTTGTTGTGTGGCTGCTGTCAAGATGTGTGCTGCTTCATGTTGGCGAGGATCCTTCCAAGCCTAATGAAGCAGCTATACTACAGAGGGCCAGCCCAGAGGCTGCTGGGGTTGCTAGGGTGACTCATGGCATGCGCGGGACTAGGGATGGTTTGGGTGCGACAAATAATGTGGAAGTATTTCGGGTCCAAAGAAGAACACTAAGGGCATAGCCCTGCTGTCACATAGCTTAAAAGTCATAGGGGATATTCCCATTAAACAAAGAACAAAGCGAGTAACTAATACACACACACACACACACACACACACACACACACACACACGTGTATATAGTGTGTGTATATATAGTGTATATACATATATATATATATATGTATATGTAATGTGTGTGTCTGTGTGTGTGTGTAGTGCAAATATTCTGAAGGAGGGAAATAGGGGGTGCAATCAGAGGTGGACATGGGAACAAAAAGATGATTGTCAGGCGAAAGGAGGGTAGTTTCTATACTGAGAACCAGCTGCCCCTTACCTCCCCCCCCCCAGAAGACTGCCCTGGCTTTGAGATTTATGGTTCAGCAGGAGAGGACAGGCTGGACACTGGCCCCACTCATTCCCAGCCCTGTGCACTTGTCAGCAAATGGTCCGCACAGCTCTTCCCAGTGGCTGGTGTGTGGAAGCCCTAGATGAGACAAAAGCAATCTCTGTGGAGGACTTCAGACCCGGGTTTGCCTCTGAGTGGGTTGTCTTGCCATTACAGAGGAGATCCCAGGAGGAGGGGTAGGCACAGGGTCACAGTCAGGGCATGCATCTCTAGTTGCAAATGACAGAAACGTCATTTAGACTAGTTTCAACTGTACATAGGCTATTCGTATCACAGTATCTACAAACTGAGCGAAAGTCCCTTTGTTTTTCCACGCTCCTCCTTTTTATGGCAATGGGTTATATACTCTCCTTGTCTACTCTGGTTTTGACTAGAAGCTTGAGAGTTGCCGTAGATCTCAAACTCTAGCTAGAACCGTCTACCTGGACCAGCACATGTCCTGAGGCAGGATTTGAACCCAGCCGAAGGGCTCCAGAGACTGTGCTCTTCTTGTCCTGTGCTATGACCTGCAGAGGAAGTCAGAGGAGAGCTGAAAAGAGGGCAGAAGCTGGATCACACCCTGGAGAATGGAAATTGGGTCCCCTGCTGTCTGTCCCTTGCCTCAGTCACATCAGGAGCACCTGTTGCCTACCCTATTTTCAGTGCAGGTGAAACACCCCTTGCTTCTGGGGCCACGTTCACATCACTGCATCTAAGGAATCCCCACAGTCATGCTGTCCAGCATGTGTGCACACACCTATAGGTGTGTGCTCACATGATAGCTGTCTCAGTTAGTTATTCTACTACTGCTGTGAAGAGGCATCTCACCAAGGCAGCTTACAGAAGAAAGAGTTTATCGGGGGCTCACAGTTCTGAGGGTTAGAGTCCATACCATCATGGCGGGGTGCATGGCGGCAGCAGGCTGGCAGGCACGGTGCACCAACTGAGAGCTGAAATCCTTATCCACAAGTGTGAGGCAGAGGAGAGAGGGGGTGGGGAGGGAGGGAGAGTGAGCGAGCTGGGAATGTCATGGGCTTTAGAAACCTTGAAGCTTATCCCAGCAACACACCTCCTCTAAATAAGGCCACACCTCCTAAACCTTCCTAAATAGTTGCACCAACAGGGATCAAATACTCAAATAAATGGGCTTATGGGAGCCATTCTCTTTCAAACCACGGCAGCATACAGACACTTAAAATGCACACCCAGCTAATGTTGACATTAAGAAAGATGAGTCAAGAGAGATTAAGGCTTCAGGTCTCCTCCAATGCATGAGCCTCTTCCAAGGCCTTGGGAAGAAGCCTAAATAGTCTAGGTTGTTTCTTAATTTTCAGAATAAATTACATTAAGCAATCTGTTATGATCATTGTATCTTTCTGTTCTGGCTTATTCCTATGTTTGGTGACATTTAGGGGCATTAAAGTCCCACCTAAATAAATAAATCTCACTTGGGTTGGGCAGAATATATTTTAAATAAATGGAATATATAAAACAGAAGCAATAATATTGAATGGTGAAATAAATTAAAATTATTCTGACATTATGAGGATGACTGTATTTAAAATATACGTTTAGAGCTTTGTAGTTTGGATATAAGCTTGTGTGTCTGAACACTGGTGGCCAAGTTTGGAAAGTTTGTGAAACCTTTAGAAGGGGGAGCCTGGCTGGAGGAAGTATGTCACTGGTGGCATGGTGGGGGTGGGGCGCTTGTACCTGTTGGTTTTGCGGCTGACCTCACTTCCTGTTCACTTCCTGCTTCCTGACTGGATGCATTATGGCTAGCCTCTTGCCTCTGTTGCCATGCCTTCCCTGCCATGATGGACTGCACCCCTCAAACTGCAACCCAGAAAAAAACCCTCCCTCCCTCCAAGTGTCTCTTGTCAGGTGTTCAGCCACAGCCGTGAGAAAAGTCAGGAATGCAAACAAAGAGAGGCTCAGGGCTAGGGGTGCACACACACACACACACACACACACACACACACACACACACACACACACCATGTGCAACCCTCACCTGAATACAGCCCCGGGCTTGACACCCAGCACAGAAAGAAAGAGGTATGCAAAAGAGAAAAAACGTTCCAATGGAGCTATGTT